TACACGAGTGTCTTACGTTAAGTCGACATGGCATGTTCGGAAGTGCGTCAAAGTTTCCTACTACACCGCGATTAAAATCAATATGACCTATATACCAGGTGGCTGATTAACCCCGCACACTTTTGTACTATGCAACCCGCCCGCACGGCTCCATCCGGGACTGCATACCCACCAGGCGCTGGGGACCGGCTCCAAGCGCCAACGCGTCGCTCCGCCACTGTTATTGCAGCCACCGCCCTGGGGCGTTACAAAGCGGTTGTTCGTGGTTTTCCGGGGGTTCCTGCGAGTTTGCGGGAATAACTCGCGGGCCCGCGAGGGTAGCACGCGGGTCCGTGGGCAAAACTCGCGGTCCGCGGATCCTGCCGCGGGGGTTGCTCGCGGTCCGCGATTGCTGTCAGCTAACACCGCGGACCCGCAAGCTACCCTCGTGGACCCGCACGCTACCCCCGCGCACCCGCGAGTCATCCCCACGGACCCGCGATTTACCCCCGCGATATCGCGAGTTTACCCCCGCGGACTCGCGGGAACCCTCTAGAAACCGCGAAACCCCTTTGTAACGCCCCAGGGCGGTGGCTGCCTGCAACAACAGTGGCGGAGCGACGCGCTGGCGCTTGGAGCCGGTCCCCAGCGCCTGGTGGGTATGCAGTCCCGGATGGAGCCGTGCGGGCGGGTTGCATAGTACAAAAGTGTGCGGGGTTAATCAGCCACCTGGTACATGACATGAACAAAACAACCGAGGTTCGTTTGAAGACTGACAGCCCTGTTAAAAGCTTACGGTGAAGCCGAACTCCTCTCGTTCTGCGTGGGAAAATGTTCAACGGAGGTGTTGAACTCACAGTTAAAAATTCCTTATTTACCATCCGAATCCTTCCGCAACCACCACCGTAGGGTCAGCACTTGAAGTAGTGGTGTGCCCCCACACTTACCTGCATCAGGTGGTGGGGGTGGGGGCCCTCGAACTCTTCCAGCATGGTGGCCGAGTACAGGGGCTTGCCGAACACAGGCGGCAGGTCGTTCTTGTCGTTGATGTGGATCACAACGCGCGTCTGGTTCTCGTTTAGTGAGTCGGAGGCGGTCAGGCGGAGCTCGTACTGCGGGGACAAGCAGCATGCATCAAACCAAAAAAAAAAAACAACACAAAAAAACGTGCAAGCGCGCGTGGGGAAAAAAAAACAAAAACAAGAGAAATAAACAAAACAAAAGACGAAAACCCGCGCGCTACAGTGCGCGCCCCGCCAAGGATAAATAGGTTAGTCGTTAGAGAGGTCCACGGCGCCAAGCCACGTGGGGGTCGTTTATTTCAGCCAGAGAGACAAATCTCGAAAGGCGACGAGACGTTTTGCAAATCCGCGCGCGCTGCTTGTGCGCTGGAGGG